CCTGCTCCAATCTCTGCTCCTCGCCCCTCTAACTTCTGTCTCATTTCTCCCTCTCCTGCTTCTGGCTCACTGCCACCTCCAACACCTGTCCTGAGCTCCTCTCTGCCTCCAACCCCCTGTTTCTTTGCCACTCTTTTATCCCCACTGCCTTTTCCTTTTTTTCCTGAGCAACCAGGTTTCTGCCTCAGTTTCTTTCCTAACTGTCTCCTCCTTGCCACCACTTATCTGCCCCTCCCCCCAATATCTCAGCTGTCTGCCTCAGTTTCCAGCCCCAGTCTACCTTAAGTAAACCCAAGCCTCAGTTCGTCAGCCAGCTTCTCTCTAGTCCACTGGTTCTAATCCCAGTTCTGGCAACTTTCACTCCCTACACTTTAACTCTCTCTCACCTGAACCCTCCCCCAAGTATCCCAGGTATCTCAAGCACACACATACACACTGTACCATCCAACTTAGGAACTTACCTATGTGTAGGTGGGGTGTGTATACACACACACACACACACATATATATATATACACACACACACACACACACACATCATTGTGTGCATGATATATGAATTAGTGATCTGTGTCTAACTTTTGGGGTGTATAGTGTATGTGCTTGAATTGGTGATAGGTATGCATGTGTCTAGGCTGGTTTGGATGTATATGTGCCTGAGCTGGTAGTGTGTCTGTGTATGCACCTAACTGATTTGTGTGTTTGTATATGTGCAATTGTGTCATAACCTCCTGTCTAACAGTGTAATATTGAGATCCTGAGAGTTGGCCTGGCCCCACAGGGCAACAGCTCCAGAGGCCAGAGGCTGAACCTTGCCGCTGCTCATTCCCCTTTTTTCCCCTACCACTGCTCACTGCCATGTTTTTGTTCCTGCTGCTGCAGCAGCAGGAGAAAAGGAGGGGACGAGTAGCAGAAGTGTTCACCCCTTGGGCTTTAGACCTTTGAGAAAGCAGTTCTATCAAAATCTTAAATCCAGACTTCATGGTCCTGTACCAGCAAAAATTATCTGCTTTGTGAAAAACTGTGACCAATGGCAAGAGATTGTCACTCAGATTACAAAGTCCTGTCTGCCAATAATAGTCACAGTGACAAATACTGAGGCTAATGAAGTGCCAAACTGCCTGTGTCCCCTCAGAAAAAAAATCACCACTGAGAGTTTGTCTAATATAATCTTCCTTAACATTTCTTACCTCTATACCTCTATATTTATTTAATACTACTAAAGTATAGAAGTCTTTTTATGTTTCAAAATAAACTCAGAAGAGTTTTAAACAGCTCAACTCTAAATATGAATTGGCATATAAATCATTAATCAAAACAAAACAATAAATCAAAAACATTAACAGTAAAATGATGGACATTTAGCACAGTCAACATAGCTACTAAGAATTTCTGTTGTGGTTTTATAAATTGGATTTGTCATTTCAGAATGCTTATCTATACAGAGACTGAAATAATCATCTCTACATTCATAGAATGAGATCTGAGGCAGAAATAATATTCATGTGAACAATATGGTAATTTCTGATCCATTACTGACACCAACTGGTCAAAGAGACAAATTGGTGTTTACAGAGTAATATAGAGCTCCAAAGAAAATTAACTATACCAAAATTAGGCTCTTTCCTGTACATTCTGCTTTTACCAAAAGTCTACCTTTCAAACTTTTCGGCAACTTCACACCAATTCCTCTGCCTTCTGACTCTTCAGAAACTTTGTAACTTCAACAAGCACCATCCCTACATCAATTTCAAGGGAGCAGGCAGAGTCCATTCCAAAATTTATGACCCTGCACAATATGCACTTATCTTAGTCCACTTCATTTAAAACTAATAAGAATGTCAGAAACCTGACCCTAAATCAAACAGCTTCCTGAAGTACGTTTTGTGCAAAAGTTCCACCATACAGCTTATGTACAAAATACCACAGAAAGCAGAAACTGCCAAAGAAAAGAAGATTTTGAGATTTCTAAAAACAATGTTTTTACATACCTATTTTTTCTAAAAGTTACATAAGTCACTAAATCTTATCAATATACATGCAAGTAAAAGAATGTTGTGCACTTCATATACAACTTTGATTGCCTGTAACTAATGTTAACAGTCTGTCAGCAAACATAGGAAACATGTTTTTTTTAAATGTGGTTTTATAGAGGGATGATGTTTTATACCATCTTTCTCGCTCTGTTATCTGGAAACCTAATTAAAATAGCAGATATTGTAATTAGAAAAAAAAGCGAGCAAAACCACTTCCCATTTTTCTAAAAATGACTTTTAAGAAAGAACCAATACAATGTATAGAATAAGAAATGGTCTGACCTAAACTGGAAATATGAGGAAACTGAGAAATTCATTTGAATGGTTCCTCTATGAGTATGTACACATAATACACAAGCACACTGGGACAACTTAAACATGAATCTTAAAATGTAAACGGTTGCTTTGGTGGGTTTAAAAATAAAAGCTTTTTCTCTAGTGGTCTACAAGATGTTGGCATGTATTTATAGAGATTATTTTCTAGTTTAGGCAGGGGTCAGCAATCTTTTAGGAGCAGCAGGCCAAATTAGTGCAACTCATTCTGAATGCAGGTTGCCGCTCCCTTGGCTGGCACTGGGCTCCTGAACTGGCTGCTGCTCCCCCCCCACATACAACTGTCACCAACATCCTGGCTTCAAGGGGCACATAACACTGCAGGCCATAGGTTGTTGACCCCTGGTTTAGACAATTATAAAAGACATGCTAAAACACTGATTGATGATATGACCAATTTAAATCTGCTGTTCTTAAAATAATCAAATATTTTCCACACTCTCTCTCAATACAGATTGTGAAAATAGCTTAAAATACCAAACACACAAACATACATGTACTAGCAAATAGTAGTAAATCTGTTCATTACCAAAGTATGTATCAAATCCTCTGCGGGTTGGAAGGCACTCTTTTTTATACATGCCTAGATGCCACTTCCCTACCATATGGGTAACATATCCCGCTTCCTTTAGCAGTTCTGGCAGGAGTTTATCATCCAGTGGGTGGCAGTTGGGTTGACAAGGCCAAATTATTTGATGTTGTAAACCTGTATGAATCTTGTGAAAACAAAAAGAATCCAGGTATTAGTCAAAAAAGTATGACGATAACATACTCAATGAAAACACATATTGTATCTCTCTGAATATATATAATTGTATAAGTATCATCCATGTTGGAATAGTATTGCTGCTGATGGTCTAGGGCAGGCTTGTCCAACATGCGGCCCACCAAGCCATTTTCTGTGGCCCGCGGTACTGCGCCGGGAAACAAAAGTAAACACTTGTCCCTCCCCCAGCCCCTCAGCAGCTTCCTAATGGCTGCTGAAGGGCTGGGGAAAGGACAAGGTTCCCACACATACCACGTCAGCTTGACGTTGCCGACGTGGTGCGTGTGGGAAGAGGAGTAGCTGGCAGTGAAAGTGCGGGTCATTGGTGCTGTGCGAGGTGGTCCCGGGCAGAGCTTGCACTGGCCAGCACCGTGGGTGGCAAGCAGAGCCCGCCCGGGCACACGCGGGGCGAGGGGAGCAGGGACAAAAATCCCCCTAGACCCTCCCCGGTCAACTTCCCCAGCGCTAAATCACTGCTTGCACCTGACTCTGCCCCTCGGGGCTGTAGCTGGGGAGGAGGCATCATCCCGGGGCCCCTGCACCTGCCTTGCTCCACGCTCACTTGCGTGGTTCATCTTCCCAGCGGCAGGTGAAGTTGCAGCCAGGGGCTGCCGCCTGGGCACTGCCCCATGCCCCGCTCGCAGGTTCCTGTGTGAGCACACGGTGCCAGCCTGGGCTCACTGCACCGCCTCCGCTTCCTCCGTCTCCCTCCCCGGCAGAGGAAGCCCCCCCGCCTTTTCTTTTTTGGCTGGCTCTGGGCTGGGTCCTTTAAGCCCCGCACTGGGGGGTGATCCGCACTGCATTGGCGGGGAAGGGGCAACATGGTGCAGTGCAGTCCGGTGCGGGGATGACCACATGAGCATGAAACATGGCTGCCCGGCTATCAGTGGGGCCATGTCCCCAGGCGGGATTCTGAGGAGCCCGTGCGGGGGTGCCACACGCATGCGTGCACTCATGAGAAGGAAGCACAAGGTCACACTCGCGCCTATCTCTTCCTCCATGGGAGCCGGGGGTGAGAAGGGAGGTGGGCTGCATGCGCGTGGCCGTGTGTGAAGACTGGGCTCCTCATCCCTGATGGAGCCGGACAGCATCCTAAGGCGCTGTTTCTCCTCCTCCTCTTCCTCACTGCTGCTGCTGGAGGCCAACAGCTGGCTGCTCCTCCATGGCTTCCTCTACCTGGTGCTGTACGCCCAGGTGTCCCAGGGCAAGCCTGCATTAAGCTTCTTCCATTCATTGAGAAGTGAGTAGAAGCGAAAGTGTTTATTTTAGTCAAGTGTTTGGTATTATTTCATTCTTGCTTTTATATTTTTTTTATTTTGGATTTTAAACCACATTTCCAGACCCATTTCATTGTCACTTCCTGCAACTTCATTGGTGTCAAAGGTCACGTGACATCACTTCCTGATGTGATACCACTTCCTGTGAGGTCTTTGAATATAGCTCGCCGTCCCACTGGGTGATAAAAAGTTTGTGATCCGGCCCCACATTCAAAAAGGTTGGACACCCCGGTCTAGGGAATAGGCACAAAGCAAGATTTGTGAGGTGAATCGGCAATTAATCTGTCAAGCAAAGAGAAGTTGTCATAAGCAAATACGGTTCTGTGGCTCGTTATAAAATACCTGCTCTATCTGCAAATGTCTAGGCGCTCCACAAGTGATTTTGGGGTTCTTACTTTTCAAATGATCTTATTTATTAACATAATTAGGTTTAACTACAGCAACTCTTCTTTATTTGATGATAAGTTCTGCTTCCTTCACAAATTAACTGCCCTTGTTTTAAGTGATCACATTCATTAACATAATGATGTTAAACAAAAGCAACCTGTTTAAATTTGCTGATGACACCAAAATTTGGGGGGAGGTGAGCACGCTAGCAGGGAGAGAGAGATTGCAGAAGGATCTGGATAGGTTACAGGGGTGGGCAAACAGGAACAGGATGTGTTTCAATACGGACAAGTGCAGGGTGCTGCACTTGGGTAGTAGGAACCAGCAGCACACTTATACGATGGGGAACTCCCTACTTGAGAGCACGGAGGCGGAAAGGGATCTTGGTGTCATTATTGACTCCAAGATGAACATGGGCCGACAATGCGAGGTCATGGTTGGCAGGGCTAACCGGACCTTGTCGTGCATCCACAGGTGCATCTCGAGTAGAGCCAGGGAGGTGATCCTCCCCCTCTATGCGACGCTGGTCAGGCCGCAGCTGGAGTATTGTGTCCAGTTCTGTGCGCCCCATTTCAGGAGGGATGTGGACAACATGGAGAGGGTCCAGAGGAGGGCCACCCGCATGATCCGGGGACAACAGGGCAGACCCTACAGCGAGAGACTGCGGGACCTGAACCTATTCAGCCTCCACAAGAGAAGGCTGAGGGGGGACCTGGTGACCGTCTATAAACTCACTAGGGGGAACCAGAAGGGTTTGGGGGAGACGCTGTTTCCCCTAGCCCCCGCTGGCATAACAAGGAGTAATGGGCACAAGTTGATGGAGAGGAGGTACAGATTGGACATCCGAAAAAACTACTTCACAGTTAGGGCGGCTAGGAGCTGGAACCAACTTCCAAGGGAGGTGGTGCTGGCCCCTACCCTGGGGATCTTTAAGAAGAGGCTGGATACCTACCTGGCTGGACTCATTTGAGTCCCGTTTTTTTGTTTAGGGTTCTTTTGTTGTTCTCCCGCCCTGGCGGGGGGTCGGGCTAGAAGATCTATTAGGTCCCTTCCGACCCTAAAACTATGAAACTATGAATTAGTTCACATCTGCTTTTTTTCCCCTCAGACCTAAGGGACTGCATTCCATGCTTTCAAGTTAGTCTAGTATCTCTCTCAACTATAAAGTTTTTAGTTACTTGTGAGAAGCTTAATGTGAACCACAAACTATGAATTTAGACTGTGATTATACTATGAAAACTTTCTATTGTTAGTTTTTAGAGCAACCACAGCAACCTCTTGATAGTGGTGGACTAATTTCTAAACAGGTTAGTTACGAATCACCTTTTAAATGACTTGGACATGGTCATAAACAGGAGTGAATTACACTGTACTATAGACTACTTATGAAAAAAAATTAAGACACTGCAAAAATCAAAATATATTTTGCTCTTCTTTAGCAACACCTGATTGGCTAACTCCAATTCTCTTGCTTGAGGGCCACCTCGAATGATCCTTTCATAAGTACACAACAAAGGTGATTAAATACTATTTACCAGTGCAGGAAGCCATTTATTTTAATTTGTGATGAAGAAGGAAATTACAGAGCCATTGTCAATGTATGCACAGGACTCTGAAGATGAAAGAATAAAACAACCAGAAACATATTTAAATTCTTTGCTGGCTTTAACTTTATTTTCTGTCCCCATTACTTTGTCAAAACTATAGAGCAATACTCAGAAAGAAAATGAGGAAGTATAACAAAAGAAGAAAAACTACAAATTAGGAAATGATTTGTTTCAAAACCACCCTTGAACAATGAAATGACAGATCAGCCGTTTTGCATGAAACACTTTTCTCTTGCTGGATTTTGTTTTGGTTTTTTTAACAACAACTGTATTAAACAACTTTGTGTTAAAATCTGAGCTGTTTATTTATAGCAAGCTAAGAATTATATTTTAAAACTATGGAATACTGTCAGGTTACATGACAAAGTTTCCTAAGTCAGTGGAGGGTTGTGTGGAGTCATTGGAAGCTAAATCATTGGAAAAGGACAGTATTAGTAATGGATAATGTTAATCTTTTGAGTGATCCAGAAATGAAACTAGCAGCAATCAGGTGACATGCTGTGTCTGTGTATTGTATGACTCCTGACAGGGGGAATGAAAAGTTAATTCGCTTATCAACATTGCAGCTTATTGGTTATGATACTTACACAAAAGAAATACAGGCAGCTGGGGAGCAGCAGAGAAGTTTCACCACAATAATCATGCAAAATGTTTCAGAAAATATTTGGAAGAAGAGATTTGAAGGTAAGACACATACATCCTCCCACATTGATTCAGTCTCTGGCCTCCCTAGAGTACTAACTGCAGTAGTAGTGTCGGAGCAGAGTAACAGTAGACCATGCAGCTGGTCCAGTAGAAGATATCACCCACATCAATCCTTGCCCCTCACATAATTGGAGCCATGCACTTTTTATATGTTCACCTATTCATGAGAAACTAGATTGATTATATGTTTTAATTTTCTGACTAATGGTTTCTTACATGAAGATAGTTGGTAAATTCATTGGCTCTGTCTTGATTGTTTGGAACTAGCATAAAAAACCAGAACTGTATGACATGTAGCTCACGACACTGTATTTAACATATCATATGTCTTTAACATATTAATCAGTTGGGAAAGGAAATGAGTAGTAAGGTTGCCAGGTTTGCAGATAATACAATATTGCTTAGATTCTTCAAGACTAGAGAAGACAAAACTGTGCAGAAATCCAGGCAAATAGCCAATACTAAACCATGGCAAAAAAATGCAAATATGGACCAGCAGATCATGATGTACCTACCTTCAAAAGAAGAAATCAAACTACTCTTTAGCTTTCGAGCCTAGTAAGATATTACAACAATGCAAGAAAACAAGCTAGATATCACTGTATGCAACTCTATGGAAACTTCCCCTCTGTGCAAGAACAGTCAAAAGCTAAACACAAGAATGATACATAAGAAATGCGATGAAAAATACTATAGGAACTATATATAACAACGTCATTGTGAGTCAACGTATTCCCTCAGCTGGAACAGCGTGTTCAGTTCTGGCCGCCCCACTTCAGAAAGGTAACAGGCAAGTTAAAGATGGTTCAAAGATAGACAGCAAGAATGATTAAGAGATGTGAAAAAACTTTCCAAAAGAAGAAGGATCAAAATAACTGGAATTGTAATGTCGAAAGGAAACCAAAGAAAACAAGATGAAGTTTAGTCAATTCTACTGATCTCCCAGAATAGAAGAACAAAGGGAGTCCTATAAA